CCCCTGAGAAAGGACTTGGGGAGCAGTCCCAGCTGTGTCCTTGTCTCTTTGGTAGCCCTGTTCCTGTTGCTAGAGCTTCAGGATCCTAGGAATTGTTTTCAGGTTTGGGGATTTGCTAGCCATAGCATGACTTCCCTGAACTTCCTTCTCCTGCTGTTTCACTGATTTCTGTTGGCTCTGTGTACTGGAAACCAACACCAGAGAAGGAGATCTTGTTGAGTCCTGGTCCTCGACTTGGTCTTCCTTGTCATTTCTGTTTCCTAACAATGGGCCGAGAAGCTCTTCTCATCCTCGCCACATCCCCTACCCCTCTGCGAGCATAGCTTCCCCCTTGGCCTCTGCCTTCTCAGGTCCCTGTTGGACACCAACCTGGAAATGGTGAGGCACAGCTTCATCTGTTCCCTGCCTGCAAGCAACCTAGACCCCCAGGAGATGGCTCTTAACAGCAGTGACAGTGATCACCTTGGTCAGGCATGCGCTGTACAGCAGGCTTTTCCTAGGTCTCTGTCCCTTGCCTTTGCTGGCTCTAGCCCTGCCTACAGGCAGAGAGCTGGACTTTGCAAGCTGGAGAGGTACATGTCTGTGTATCTGCTTCTCAGCCACCTTGGGATGCTTTCCAGCCAGCGATGAAGAGTTCTCACTGCCTCGCACCCCACAGTGACTCAGTCACTTCCTCAGGTTCACGGTTGTTCTATCATGTATGACGGACAAGATCCAGCCATCACTGCAACCACAGAACACGGCTTTACTTACCCAAACAAGGCAGAGGAGGAGAGGATGAGAGAATATGTGCCGGGCAGGTGAAATTCCATGGCCACCATAGTCCAATCACATAGCACTTACAGTCCTCTGCTGACACTTCTGTTTTCTGTGGGGGCAGGCTGAGCTTTAGCAGAGTGCAGGCATCCTGAGGGAAGGCACTATGGTTTTCTCTTTTTAACTATCTGGCCCCACTGGCTCACGGTAAATGTGAGACCCTTATTTATGGAATGAAAAGGGACAGAGGGAAGGATTGTTCAGACTCTTTTTGAATTGGTCACATCTGACTTTCTTCCTTGTGTTCTGTCAGCCCTGTGTTGGTTTTATACGTGCGTGTACGTGTAAATGTGCACTTATACATGCACATTGATGTTTAATTTGTACTCATTCTAAAGTTCTGATCATACTGCTTCCCTCCTTGAACACGCTGAGTGGTCCCTGTGACCTTGGGTATACAGTCGAAGCACCTTAGCTTGACTCTCAGGGTCCCACACCTTCCAGCCCTGTCTGCTACCATGTACTCTTGGAGACCATGAGCTCTGGCCCTGCCAGATTATTAGGCATGGCCAGAAGCGACCAAGCATGTGCTCTCATGACAAAGGGCTGTGGGCACAGACTGATCCCTCTTCCAGGAATGCCTTTGTTCCTGCCTTGACATGGTGGACTGCTCCTCATGTTTCACAGCCCACCTCGGGGGTTCTGTCTTTGGTGCAGCCTCACTTAATTGCTACCGAGAAGAGTTAGGGGTTGGTTCTCCTTTCTGGAGGAAGCAGGACTGTAGCTTCTGTTACACTCAGCTCTCATGGTGGCTCCCTTGTCTATACGCCCAGCATCTGACTCTGTGTGGCCTCTCTGCTCTCACCACACACACACTGCTCACCTCTTCTCACCCTGCTCCACACCTCCAACACATCGACACTCCCTGCTCACTTAACATATTGTGGGCCCCTTAGCCCCCAGTACCAAGTACCTGATAAGCTTTCCATAAATATTAGCTGGTGATCTGGGACCAGGTACTTCATTCTAGAGAGAGAGCTCAGGTTTTGTTTTGCTTTATCTTTTGAACCTGAATATGTACTTCTTGGTCCAGGTTGGGAACCTCAGCGCCTTGAGAGCAGAGCCAAGAATAAACAAGTGCCTGGCTCTGGACCAGGCCCTGTTCCCAGCCCTGGGTTTGGCTTTCGTCACCTTATCATTGAGGACAGTACTAGAGGCAGGGTGCTCTTGATTCCCCCACTTCCAGACTGCATGTCCTGAAGCCTTGAGTGTATCCTCAAGGCCACCCCAGCCTCTCCTGCAAGGTACTTGATTTAATCATTTAA